TATTATTGCAACAGATCTACCTTAGCTGGTTTTGCCATGGCACTTTTAGGAGAGGGGATTGTAAAATTCTATCAGGGCTCTGGAACAGATCAGAATACAAGATGACTTTAAGAATCTGATGACAGGCCTGGCATGGTAGCCTAGCAGCTAAAGTCCTTGCCTTGACTGCGCTGGGATCCCATATGGGTGCCAGTTCTAATCCCGGAGGTCCTGATTCCCACCAACTCCCTGCTCGTGGCCTGGGAAAGCAGTCAAGGACAGCCTAGAGCCTTGGGACCCTGCACCCATTTGTGGGAGACCTGAAAGAAGCTCCTGGATCCTGGCTTTGGATTGGCTCATCTTTGGCCATTGCAGCTGCTTGAGGAGTGAATCAACAGACGAAAGATCTTCCTCTCTGTCTCTCCTCCTCTCTGTATATCTGACTTTCCAATAAAAATAATAAATAAATCTTAAAAAAAAATCTGATGACATGCTAGGAGAAAGCCTGAGAGCAAAGCCCAGCTGGCCCAGCACACAAGTATACAACCAGCCAGTTAGGGGACATGCCAGGCCTCTGAAACCAAGGCAGGGGCCCTGGCTACAAAGCCCAGAAAGCAAGGGTCCCCGATGGCCCCTGTGGCCACTAGACAGGAACAGCTGGCAGCCACACACGCCAACTTCATGGCCAGGGCAATGGGGTGCGCCAGTTTTAAATCAGCAGCTATTTTTAGCTTGGCTATATATGGCCAGGGAGGAATGAGGACCACAGGAGGGGGAGGGTGTCCAGGGGCTTGGGAGGCAGGTGCCCACATGTCTTCCTCTCCTGCCCCTTTCCACATGAGAGAGGGACCTTCACCGGCAGCCGAGGCCGGGGAGGGGAGGGAGGGCAGTAAGGAGGGCAGCAGAGCCAGGTACAGTTGGCCCTGTAGTCTGTTCAAGCCCCTTGAGAACTGTGACTGTCAGGTTCTTGTCCCTGACTACAGGGTAAGAGCGGTGTCTTCTATCATGACACACACGAACACACACTCATGTACGTACGCTACCCCTAGGCCCTAGGGGCAGTGGGTGGGGGAAATCATACTTTCTCTTATTCACTATGAAACAGTCTCGCTTTTTCTAGCCTATTCTTTCACTTTAAAAACCTGTGAGATCTTTCCCACTAAGGCGAATCTGCCACCTTCAGCGGTGGGCACTGCGGTTTTCAGCTCCTGTGACCCATAAGAGCTCAGCCCCCCCCCCCCACGGCCCCGACCTGTGGAGGAGGAGAGGCAAGGGTTAGTCTACTCTCCCAGATCCTGTGCAGTGCCGGGGTGCCCGCGCTCTCCTGCACACACCAGGAGGCACAGATCCCACCTTGCTCCAGCAGGCACTCTTGCCCCTGTCCCCCCACAACCCTGGGCTGTAGCACAATCTCCCTGTTGGCATCTCTCTGTTCTGTTCATTTCACCACCTCCTGCTACAGTGCAGTAGCCTGGTAAGCACTTAGTAACTTCACAACTCACTTCATCATCAGTCCATGAATACTTATTGAATGAATGAATACAGAGCAGTAACATCCCCTATCGTTAGTGGCGTGCTCATTTATCCCATGGAAAGTCTTGTAAGAGGTTCAAGAAGAGTTCCATTTTATCCTTGCTTAGGAAGTGAAGTCTGACAAGAGATGAAACGAGGGGCTGGGGTAGCCTGCGGCTACCGACACCTGCCTATCCATAACCCCAGCATCTGATCTGTTGCCATTACCCTCAGTGCCACCCAAGGACTGCTGACAGACTGATTGAAGAGATTTTCCAAAGCAGTGGCCATGTCTAATTTTGGAGAGTTACACGTTGTGTGTGGCTTGGGACAGAGAACCAGGGAGGTTTGCAGACCCCCTGGATGTGGAACTGACTCACTTTGAAGAAGTCTGGGTCTTGGGCAACCCCAAGCAGCAGGTGCTCTGGCAAGCTGACCTAAAGAGCCCTGGCACACCAGGAATAAAACCTGGAACCTGCAAAGCGAGGTGACCTGGTTCCCCTCCACAGTTCCAGCTGTGCCTGCTCTTGCTGGAAATCTCATCCTCTCTGGGCATTCTTGCTGTTCCTCCCCCACATGCTGAGCCAGTCCTGCCTCAGAGCCTCTGCCACTCTCTGTCTGAAATCTTTACCTCCTCTCTAACCCTCCCCATCTTGCTTTTACAACCAACCCATCTACATCTGCCCCCTTCCCTCTGCTGCTTTCTCACAGCACTATTAACTTCTGACGATCCCATGCGCTTTTCTGAGTTCTCCTCTCCTTGTTTTGCTCATTAGTCCCTAGAACATGAAGTGAGACAGTTTCTGGTACAGAGTACAGGCTCAGTAACAACACATGAATGAACGAACAAATGAATGGGATTTTCTCTTTTTCAACATGTTGGCATCTGCTTAGCACTCTCCACGCTCAGGTCAGCCCAGTTACATACATCCTTGTGACTCACAGGCACATACGTGCCTATCCTCAATGTGGACAGAGGGAGGAACAAAGCTGGAAGGGCAGGGGGCATTTGGCACATGCCTACTGGCACCGCATCGCACATTGCACCTCTGCAAGACTCAAGGCTCACCTGCAGTGTACAGCCAGGGAAACTGAAGCCTGCTCCCAGCTGTGACCCCAACACACAGCAACAACTTCTGATGAATGGAAGAGCATGGAGTTAGCACAGATGGCTTTAGGTCACAGAGCCAGTGAACAGGAGAGCAGGGCTTTGTCCTCAGGGCTGTATAGTTTTAGCCAGGACCCTGTAGATCCCATAGGTGACCTCAGAGACTCAGGGAACATGAGCCCTAGGTGCACAGGGGCAGCACTCAGCCAGGCATCTGCCCCCTGGGGAAGCTCACACCTGCCCCCCAGGGTGTCTCAGCAACCCCAAAACCTAAGCAAGAATGAACCTTGCACCCAGACTTTTCACACCCCACACACCAGGCTCCCACCCTGGCCACGGCCCACTCTGGGACAAAGAGGGGAGAGCAGCGACAAGCACCCTCCCTTAGAAACACCTCTGAGACCAGAGATCATGCCTTCCAGTAGCCATGGTTTCCAGCTAAACAACCTGCTAGAAAGATGCTATACAGGGCCTGGTGCTGTGGCCTAGTGGCGCCTTGAACATGCCAGAATCCCATATGGGTACCGGTTCTAATCCTGGCAGCTCCATTTTGCATCCAGCTCCTTGCTTGTAGCCTAGGAAAGCAGTCAAGGATAGTCCAAGGCCTTGGGACCCTGCACCTGAGTGGGAGACCCAGAAAGAAGTTCCTGGTTCCTGGCTTCGGATCGGAGCAGCACCGGCCGTTGTGGCCACTGAGGGAATAAATCATCAGATGGAAATTCTTCCTCTCTGTCTCTCCTCCTCTGTGTATACCTGACTTTGCAATAAAAATAAATCTTAAAAAAAAAAAAAAAAGAAAGATGCCATACAATCACCCTGGGTCCGATGTTAACAACACTCATGGCCAGAGGGGCAACCTGCTTCCACTTCCACAGAAGTCACACAGCCAAAGCGCCAGGCTTAGCCAGGTAGCAGGCCAACTGGGGCGTCCTTAGGGACCATGAGAGTTGTCACATATCACAAAACACTGTTCCTCTTTTCACTTTTTCCTCCCCAACATGCAGAAGTGTGTAAGCACACTTAGATGGATCCAGCACAATGGCTCAATTGGCTAATCCTCCCCTTGCAAGCACTACTATCCCATACGGGGGCTGGTTCATATTGCAGCTGTTCCAGCTCCCATCCAGCTCCCTGCTTGCGGCCTGGGAAAGCAGTTGAGGACGGCCCAAAGCCTTGGGACCCTGCACTCACATTTGAGACCCAGAAGCTCCTGGCTCCTGGCTTCAAATCAGCTCAGCTTCAGCCACTGTAGCCCCTTGGGGAGTGAAACTCCTTCCTTCTGTATATCTGCCTTTCCAATAAAAGTAAGTCTTTTTAAAAATGAGATTTTAAAAAAGGAGAAAGAAGGAAAGAAACAAACAAACAAACAAACCACTCTTAGCCTCCACACTATACTGAACAGGAAGTAGGCCCCCTGGACCTGTGATCTACACCCAGTATAAAATTAAACATGTATAAAAATCACCTAGCAAGCTTGTTCAGAATCTCCTGGGGCCGCTGCTCAGAGACCGAGCCTCCGGAGGCAGGGCAGCACCCTGAATTCACATCTCTAACTGGTGGTCAGGCCTGTCCGCCACCCACATTTTGAACTGTACCTAAATTTAAAGTGTCCCATTCTATGGATGAGAAAACTGAGGCCAAGACCAGAAAGTCACCCCCAGCAGGGGAGGGAACAGCAGCAGCTGTTCCGGGTTCCTGTTGTGGGTCCCCATCCCTCCCTGCTTTGCCTATACAGCCTTCACTCTCGCCCGCACCAACATGCTCTCCAGTCAAGCTCCAGCCCCAGTGTCACCTCCTCTTAAAGCAACCCCACCCCACCCCTCACCTCAACCCACATGCCCGGTCTCTTCCCACTCACTGTTCCTGCACCAGCACTCAGCACACAACTGGGGTGTAACAATTGGTGTGCTAGTCTAGGTTGGAAGTCAGGGACCAGTACCTATTCCTCTCGATACCTCATTCTTTGTATCATACCTAGCCAAAAGGATATGCAGTGAATGGAAGAAGGCATGGGGGCATCGTGAACAGGTGGGTGGGCAGACAGGTGGGTGGATGAAAGAACACTCATGCTCTGTGACTTGAAAAGAGTAGTAACTTGTCATGGCAGAGTTGAGAAGGAACCCTATGCTACACAACAAAAGCTGACACCTGCTGCCCGGCTACTGAGCGTGCCAACATTTTGCGTTTACATTCAGGCTTGTGAGAAAGTCCCTGCCAATGTTCTCAGGAACCTTACTGCCACCACCTTTGGTAACAAGGAAGTGAAGCTCAGAGAAGCAGCGTATGCCCGAAGCCACACAGCCAATGCCATCCTAGCCCTCCTCCCAAACTCGTGCCAAGGATCCCTGGCTCTCGCCGCCCTCCACACCTTCCTCAGTCTGCAGCCCCCGGCCAGGCTCACCTCCATCGGCGTAAGTCTCTGTGCCATAGCCGTCCTGCAGGCCGTTGTTCCAGGTTCCCTCGTACTTGGCACCGCTGCTGCTGCTCTGCCGGATGCCATAGCGGCCCTTGAAGCCATGCGTCCACTCGCCCTTGTAGAACCAGCGCCCCTTGGTCTCTACTCCCAGCCCGTGCCGCTTGCCCTGGCTCCAGTAGCCCTCAAAGGTGTTTCCGCTGGGCCAGGTATAGACGCCGGCCACTTCAAAGCCAAAGTTCCAGGAGCCGGAGTACTCGCCCTGGCCCTTGGGGCCTGTGCAGAGCCCATGCCCATGGGCCTTCCCCCCCTCCCAGCCCCCGCAGTACGCCCCTCCATCATCAAAGTCGAAGCGGCCCCCACTCATCGCATCCTCGCGCCCAGCCACCTGCCCGTCCTCCAGTTTGGGCGACGCCCTCAAGCCTCCAGACTCACCACCGTGCCCTCAAAACCTTGCAGCAAGTAAGAGGCCAGCAAGGGCGCCAGGAGCCCAAGAGCCAGGTCAGCACCACCGGGTGCACGCTGGGCAGAGCCATGCCTGGGAGGCGCCCCTCAGACAGCCAGAGGCAGGTTGCCCCTCGGAAGGCCATCAGGCCGGACAGATTCCACGAAGACCCCACAAAGCATCCGCAGCTGGGCTTCCATGGGGTCCGACGAAAATTCTTGCGGCCCCGGAAGAGGCACAGTGCAAGGGGGTGGGCAGGCGGGGTCCTCAGCGCTTCCCCTGCGGCGGCAGCCCCAGCCCCCAGCTGAGCTCTGCAGCCCACTGGCCCCCTTCTCCTGCACCCCAGTGGGTGTGCGGGGCTGTGGCTCTCCCACCGTGGCCCCGCCCCTCCTCCCTGGCTGCCCGCCCCCTGGACGGAAAGGTCAGTGTTGCCCTAACAAGGCCATTGGATCTCCGAAGCTGCTCCCAAAATAGCCCCCCGGGCAGCCCAGCCTCCTTCAGAGCGCCAGGGACGGGGGAGGGGCCTAGGGGTGTTTCCACTCTGGCGCTGCTGGAGGCCGGAGGGCTAGCTAGGGACTGAATGCAGACCATGGGCGCACCAGACTAGGGGGTTGCAGCACCCCCTGCTTGCCCCCAAGCCAGTATCCTGTAGCCTAGAAAGAAAGGAACGGGTGCTCTCCCAAGCAGAGGTGATGCCCTGGAGAGTGAGCCCAATGCTCCTGCCCCACCCACAGTCCCCGGAAGCCCAGGAACCCTGGAGGTGCCAGGGTGGGGCTTGTGTCTGCCTGTGGGACCCTCAGGACTACTGACAGATCACAGTGCTATTTTGTTGTATTTCCCTCTCTCTGCTAGATGCTAAGCGTCTGCCAAGCCAGACTTGGTGGGAGTGAGGGGTTCAGCTGCCACCGAGTTGGACGGCGGCAACAATTCTGGGTAAGGTCAGAAGCTGCTTGTTGGGTATATGGGTGACACAGGTGGGGACCTGGCCACTGAAACAGACAGCACAGAAGGCACAAGAGAGCACACCCGGTGCTGACTGACTTCCGGCTTCCTCATCCATTCCAGAATCCCTTGGTGACTTAGACTGCTTCACGTGGCTGCCCAGTTTTGTTCTTGAAACTGTTCCCCCTTGGGCCCAGCACAATAGCCTAGCAGCTAAAGTTCTCGCCTTCCACGCGCTGGGATCCCAAATGGACACAAAGAGGCTCCGGGCTCCTGGCTTCAGATTGGCTCAGCTCCAGCCATTGTGGCCACTTGGGGAGTGAACCATCAGACAAAAGATCTTCTCTGTCTCTCCTCCTCTCTGTATATCCACCTTTCCAATAAGAATAAATAAGACTTAAAAAAAAAAACCACTTCCTCCACACAAGGGCCAGTCCTGAGGACTTGGCAGAGCCCACAGCTGTGACTCTGAGGGAGCCCCTTCCTTGTGAAGGTTTCCCCATGGGGAGGAACCACCCAGACCCTTGATCTTACTTGCTGCTGTGGGTTGTGTCACTATAGCGGTGACACACCCCTGGCTCCCAGGACAGCCTAAGCCCTCCCCCAGGACATTGTGCTGCGGTTGCTTGCCCCCTGGGGATGTTTGTTTCCTTCCACTCCACTGTCACAGGAAGCTGAGGTAACAGGTTAACCCTCTCGCATTAAATGCCCAGCAGGAGCAGGTGTGTGGCCTGCCAGGTAAGATGCAGGCTGAGATGCCCACGGCCCCGGATCAGAACATCTGAGTTTGATTCTCAGCTTCAACTTCGGACTCCAGCTTCCTGCTATTGCAAATCCTGGCAAATGGAAGGAGGCTCAAGTGTTGGGCTCCTTCCCTTCATGTGGGAGACCCTGATGGGGTTCCCAGCTCCCCACTTCACCCTCAGCTCAGTTCCCACCATTGCAAACATTTGGGCAGGGGTAAACAAGCAGATGGGCGCTTTCTGCCTCTGTCTGCTTTCCTCTGTCTCTCTGCTTCTCAACTTTTAAAAAAAGATTTATTTTCTGTTTTATTGGAAATTCAGATATACAGAGAGGAGAGACAGTGAGGAAGATCTTCCATCCGATGATCCACTCCCCAAACAGCCGCAATGGCCGGAGCTGCGCCGATCCGAAGCCAGGACCTCAGAGCTTCTTCTGGTCTTCTGGATGGGTGCAGGGTCCCAAGGCTTTGGGCCATCCTTGACTACTTTCTCAGGCCACAAGCAGGGAGCTGGATGGGAAGCAGGACCACTAGGATTAGAACCTGTGCCCATGTGGGATCCCAGTGCAGGGTGAGGACTTCTTCTCAAATTTTTAAAAGACTTTCTAAGAAATGCCAGGCAGGTGGCCACAGTTCTGTGCTATATCTCACTGGCCAATGCTAAGTGGAGCTGCTCCCCAGGGGCCATTGAGCCAGGCAGCTCCTCCTACGGGTACAAAGAAGCACCTGCACGACTGAAGAAGATTCAAGAGCTTTACCCCAGACCCAAGAACTGGAGAGTCGGGGAGCCCCGCGGCCACAATGCTCTTTTAAAAAGCTCCCCCGAAAAATCTCTTTCTTGGTAGTCATCATGCTATGTTCTCAAATATATTTATAAACTCATGAATCTGTTTATAACTGGCTAAACAGCATAGGCAGATTGGGGGTTAGATATGTGTTCAAGTTCCACTCCTGTCCCTCACCAACTGTGGTTCCTTGTTGACTGTTCATTTCTCTAAGCCTCAAATCGTTCATGGCAAACGGTCCCCACCTCCCAGAGCTACCGGCATCAAAAATGACGGTGCACCTTGACTGGGTGAAGATTATGTTAGATAATATGATTTTTAAAAAGGTTACAATAAACTAAACACATGACAAATGTTACCTATGACAGATATTATCCTCACATCATAAATTGCCTTTTACACCATCATGCAGAATAAAATTGCCACCAAAAAAGGGAGATGTCCCAAACATGAAATACCCTGACATGGAAACATTCTTGGTCTTCCCACTCCATATTAGCCTCATTTCCAACACTGCTTAACCAAGTCACCTTCAAAGAAACTTTGTAAAAGTTGAAGCTCAAATGCCAGATTTGCTACTGACCTTACACGTCTGGTTTGTTCACAAAAACAGGGAAAAGGAGACCCCTTGTGGCCATATGTGCATTACAACAGCTTTTCCTCAGGCAAACAATTCTTTAAACTCACTGGATTGACTAAACATGAAAGGAATTTTAGCTGTTTTTAAAGGGAGTTATGACATTCTCTCTTCCTCACTCCAGGGTTCTTTCCTGTTATGAGAAGCAGCCACTTCCTCCCTCCATTTCCTTCTAAGCATTTCAAGCTTGAGCTTGCATCCCAGGAAGCATCCAGAACAGAGGAGGACAGACCATGGATGTGTCCTGAGTCCTGCTCAGCCATTACAGTGCTCAGCCCCCCAGGCATTTCCTGGCCTGGTTAGGCACCCTGCTTACGTGTTGACTCTATTCAAACTGAGTTGTTTGAAGCAAGGGTTATCTTCTTGGCAGGCTGTGCACCTGTCACTCTGGGCCAGCTGGATACAGAGCAGGTCATCCTTGGGCAACCAGGTCTCCCTTTCTTTATTCAGTGTTTCGAGTCTTTCTCCTGGTTCTGCCCCTCCTTGCAAGGCTCCTCTTAGGCCCTGACCTCAATTCCTTGGGAATATCCCCAAGCTTCGCTCTCTGACTTTTCTAGCTGCACTCTCTTCCTAGGTGATCCCCTCCAGTCCATGGTTTATGACAATATTTGTAGGTTGTCAGATTTCCATGTTGGTGGGTTCCAAGTTGGCAGTCAACAGGCCACAGGTAGAAAAATATTTTGAATTGCATCTGAACATGTTATCATTTCCTTGACAATGCAGGATAACAGCTATTCACATCGGCTTTACATTGCATTGGGTGTTGCAACCTGGGGACTGAAGTATGCAAAAGGATGCGCATAGGTTCTATGAAAATAGCCTGCCATTTTACAAAAGAGTCTTGCACATCCAGGGCCATCAGTATCTGTGGGAAGCCCTGGAACCAATCCCACAGGGACTTAGAGGAACAGGTGTAGGGCACATGGCCAGCCTGCACCTTTCCCCTGATCTTCATACTAACAACTTCCAGCACAACATTACAGGGTCTCATAAGCATCTCAGATTTGACCACCCAAAACGGATGCCTGCTTCCATTCCAACTGCTCCACTTCCAATCTTATCCCCTCCTAACAGCCTAGGAAAGCAGTTGAGGATGGCCCAAACTCTTGAGTTCCTACCCCCCATAAGGGAAACCCAGATCTGGGGAGTAAACCAGTAGATGGCAAATTTCTCTCTTCCCCTCTCTCTGTAACTTTCAAATAAAAATCTTTCAAAAAACAATTACACAACTGGTTTGCAAAACAAAAATAACTTACATGTCATTTCGATACAAGTAGCATGTTAAGCCCAGCTCACATCTATTCGCATTTTTCAGGTAGTTCCACAATCTCCAGGTTGAAAAAAAAAAAGGTGAAACACTGGTTGTGGACAAGCTAGCATTTTTATAACCAGAAACATAAATGCTCTTGCTAAGGGAGTCTCCTTGAGACAATCTAAGAGGACAAAATTGGCTCCACATTCATTTTCCAACAGGTATGCAATAGTTTGCTGACGTACAGTGTGTGATATGGTCACTGAATATGGGCAATGCTAGATTGCCTTCTATTAAGCCAGATTTCCAAAAAGTGTAAAACAGTGTGCCTCTTCTCACATATTTTGGGGTTTTACACTTTTTGTTCTTTTGCATCAAGGCATGTTCACTTGTAACATTTTACAATTGAGAGGAAAGATCAAGATCCCACACACTGAACCATGGCCAAAGCAGGTCTCCCACATGGGTGGCGGGAACCAGTTCCCACAGCAGTCACTGCCGTCTCCCAGGCTCTGCCTTTCAGGAAGTCGCAGTCAGAGCAAACTGGGCATCTAACCCTTGCACTCTGACATGCAATGCAGGTTCCCTTGCTGGTTAGGAAAAAACATCCACCCTATTTCTTAGACAGTATCTTTAAAAATTTCTGAACTGGTAAACACTGAGACCTAACTCACTTGCTCAAAATGTCATTTTGGGGCCTGAATTCGTACTGAGTCCAAAATGCTTTGGGAATTGCTGCCTTACACTCTAGCCTATCTGTGTCAGCAGGATTTAGGAAGCTCAGTTCACTTCTGGTGCTGTGGTGGTAAAGCACTCTTCCTCTCCCCCCCACAGCAGCTCTAAGCTCCATACTAAACTGGTATGAGCAGGGCTCTCCCACTGCTAAGTTCAGGGCTTTTCTAGACCTTCCCCCCACTCTGAGTACAAGTCAGCAGAACCAATCTGCCCATCACGAATCAGCTGCAGTCAGCGGCAGGCCTAGCAGAATCTTGTTTACAATCTCAATAGATTTGTGGGTAACATGGGCTAGACACTTTCATTAAACTTGGTAGCATGCTTAGGATGGTGTGACAAAATCTAAGCTACGAATACATACAAAGTTGATTTTGGGGCCACCTGAGCAAGAATTCATCCTTCAGGTAAGACTAAAGATATTCCCCCCACCTCGCCCCACTCATCTCCACAGGAAATCTTGCAATAGCTGCCTTTAACAGGCACAAAATATTCTCAGGATTGCTGGAACGAGACGGCTAGTCAGAGATAATAACCAGGAAGAACCTTGGAGTGCAAGTACGGGACCTACGAGACCTGTGGATGGCAAGCAGCATGCCATCCATAAAAGTGGCAGAGAAGATGAAGGTTAGCTTCAACCCCACAACCCCTTTCCCCAAGGGAAGCTCGCTTGGAGGCACGTGCACCAGCAGGGGCTTATCCAGTGCGGTAATGACTCCTTCAAACAACACAGGCAGGCCAGCTAGTTTATTCAAATTGACTGTAAATCTTAGATACCTGGCTTAACAACAAGGTAAGAAACCTGAAAAGATACAGTAAGTCTGGTGTTAAATCAGAGATAGTTAAGTCAATCTTAACAACTTGTGATATTCCAGGCTGGCAACTACAACATGACAAACTTTCAATCCAGTTACAAAACCACATTTTTTTTTCCTTTTGGCTACCAAATCTTAAACAGACCTGAAAATGCATTGTTTACAAAGGTTTTTACAGTATGCTACTGCTGCCAGTCTCAAGTGGTCACAGTTTCTGTCCCTTGGGTACACTTGCAAATGGTGGATCTTGCTGGACTTTGATTTGCCTCGGTGTGGATATGTAAGAACTCTGAGTAAGTGTAAAGAATGAAGATTAACTGAGATGCCAAGAAAAGTTTTTATTGCAAGCACAGTGAGCAGAAAAGAGATGTCTTCTCACACAAAAGTAGCCACAAGGGCTGCCAGTAACTCAATCTCTTTGACAACCCTTCATTGGTTTAAAGCATATGAATTAGCATCTCTCTATCAGGTATACATCATTTCTGCCATGTGGGACATTTTCTTGGGTATATACAAGTAATACTCCATGTAGCCGGATAGGTCCTCAATGGTCACGTCATCCACATAGACCCGAGCCTGCTCAGAACAGGAGCGGGGAGACCCAGACAGAGTTCGGGTATGCAGCGACTGTGAGTAGTCCTCAAGCGTGGATCTTCGTTCTGGAGCCAAGGGAGGGACATTCTGTAGGCCTGAAAAGGAATACACTTCCATATCATGCCATCTCTGACACTGGCACGCCTTGCCTGTGCATGCACACGCTTTGCCCTGGTTTAGTTTGGAAACAGACTGAAAGTCAGAGAGATCATTGGCCTTGAGACTTTCCTGGGAGCCGTGGGTAACATCACAGGAGTCTTCCTTCTTACTCCCCGCCGGGAGCCTGGGAACCGAAGTTCTCAAAGGCTCAACGACTGCCCCTGTGTGATTGCCGTCGGCAGAGGTCGAGCTTTCTCCTGCAGTGAACTCCTTTGGGGATGACATTCCCAGCCCACTGCCGCCATCAGGTGAGTCAGTCTGGCTTTTGTGCTTGAGCTGGCTGCAGCAAGAAGACGCCTTTGTACTGCAATGGATAAACTTGGGAGGATGGAGTACAGGAGACTTAGAACGTCGACGGCGCTGTGTTCTCACTGCTCCTCGTGAAGACTTCCTGGTAGACCTAGAGAAAGGAAACAGGACAAACACTGGGATACAGAGCTCTTCCGGATTCTTCATGGTGACTAGAAATGTATCTCCTCTGGCGTTACCAGTCTCCTCGAAGGTCACACATCCCCTGCAGACAGACATGCTTGCCTCCATTTTCAAGCAATCTGTGTGTCTCAAAAACTTCTACATCTCCTTATTAGCAAACCGTGGCAGGTTAACGGAAACACCTGGATCCATCATGTGGTACACGTGCCCCATCCCCACCCGAGCTCCGGACTTGGGCAAGCACACCACACACAACTGGAGCTGATGCTGTGGAGCTCGACGGTGCGCCCACAGGCTGAGTGGAGTCACTTCACTCTAGCCAATGCTACAAAGGGCCAATACGCCATTATCACTAAGTAGAGCAGCAGACTGATGCACATTTCTTTCACTGGCAACAGCTGACCAAAACAAACATCAGATTCCTTCTACAGATTAGATTCCCTCCCAACTTCTGGAGATTTTTCAGATACTGGGAGTTACTGTACATAATATATAATCAGTCATAAAATTTTTAAATAGGGTCCGACTTGGCAACCTAGCGGCTAAGGTCCTTCTGTTGCATGAGCCTGCATCCTATACAGGCACTAGTTCTTTTCCTGGCTGCTCCACTTCCCATCCAGCTCCCTGCTTGTGGCCTAGGAAAGCAGTTGATGACGGCCCAAAGCCTTGGCACCCTGCACCCGTGTGGGAGACCTGGGAGAGACTCCTGGCTTTTGATTGGCTCAGCTCCAGCCATTACGACCACTTAGGGGGAAGTATACTATCCCTCCTTCTCTTTGTATATCTGACTTTCCAAAAAATAAATAAATCTTTAAAAAATTGTTTTAAACAAAGAAAAAACTGAGGGAGTAAAGAAAAAAAAAGAATCCAAACTATCAAGGAAATTAGGAAAACAAGACTTTAAGAAATAACCAACTATACTCTGAAAGACAAAAGAACAGAGTAAAAACATTGTAGCAAGTTTTTAAATATTAATTTTAATATTAATTTCTGTGTTTGTGAAAAGCATGCATGGTAAACTTTAGAGATTATCAAAAGGACAGAAACAAAGTATACAATTTCCAAACCAGTGAAGGGAAAAAATTAAACCTTTTCAAATTAAAATGGTAGCAAGGATAGGGAAGGCAGGAAAAAGAGGAAAAAATTATAGCAAAAGCACAATATATAAGCTAAAATGCCCAAGTACTTGTACTAAACTTAGCAATTTAAAAGAAAGTGAAAATGAGTAAAATAGAACAAAATAAAACCTAACCTAAAGCTATTTATGTGACACACCTAAAATACAGATTGGCTGAAAAAAAAAAAAAAACACAAGATGAAGCAAATACTACTAACTAAAAGGAAACTGGATTAGCTAATAGAATTCCAAAGTAGACTCTACAACATAGGCAATTATGAATGATTATGACTGTTACTGAATGTTTCAATTTACCAGGAAATAAAAAATTTCAAACTTAAAGGAACTCGGGCTGCCAAAAGCTAACGAAACCACAACCAGAATATATAAAACAAAAATACAGACCTTAAGAAAATGGACAAATATAGTTCTACAAGGGAAATTTCAACACAGGTCCCATTACTGACAGGTCTGACAACCAAAGGATTAAGCCGGTACATTCAATCGCCTGCCTCAGTAGACAGAGAACCCCAGAAGCTTTAGTTAAAGACTCACTCCTCTCAGACACACACAGCACAAAACTCACTACAAGCCGAGCTACCCAGAGAGCCTTAACAAATTCACTCACAATTCAGCAGAAGGGGGCCCCTCACCTTTTAGTCTTGGTTTCTGTATTAAAACCAGCTCTTTTCTAGGAACACTCTAGGAAAATTTTTTCAAAAATATTTAAACTCATCTCAATATAAAGTTCTTACCCATGCCAGCTGTCTTTAGCTGCACCTGCAGCCTTCAGCTTGGTATCATCCGCTGTTCTGACCGACGTTCGGACATTCGTGCCTTCTCCCACAGGCAGGGACGCCACGGACCTGGGGACACAACACAGTGAGTGTCAGAAGCCAGGCAGCGCTCTCCTCAACCCGAACACAACTTCTACCAATACCTTTAGCTTTCTTGTATTTCAGATTTCTCAAAAATTGCTTAGCTTTTAGTGTAAATTCTCCAAAACCAAATAAGGAGGCTCCGTAAAAGCCTAGAGCTGCAAAATCATAAGCCAAGAATGACTCTGAAGTATAGCCAGTGGTGGATATAAATAGACGTTTAGGCTGTTTATCTGGGGCAGATCAAGCCTTATACCCAGACAGAATGCCAACGACATGGACCATGTATTTATACAGGCAAACCAGAGCTGTCAAGACTAAGTCTAGGAAAAAAGACTTTAGAGAACTCAATCTAATTTGAAAATCAATACATTTTAAAATATTACACGACCTTCAGAAAAAATATTCTAATTTTCACAACCGATAAACTGTTACTCAGAGTTAAATCTCTAGGGATCAAAGGTAATAAAGGTTCCCAGTTAAAAAAAAAATTAATAAAGAAAAACACAATCACCTATAACCTCCTAACCAGAGATTAGCAACATTAAACATTAGCCTGTCAGTGTAAATCCTTGCAGCCCTTTTCAGCACATAAAACGCGCATATACACAAAGCTGACTATATCTAATGGCACTGACAGAAAAATCTCTTAGAAAAAGACATTAATACACTAAAGTAAAAAGATACTAATACATCACTTTAAGTAACTGGAAATAAACTAAGTATACAACACCTGGAAAAACATACTGACTGTACTCTATAAACTATAGCACAACCATACAGTGGAATATCAGAATGTACTAAAAATTAAAGATCTTTTAATGATGTGAGAGAATGCTTGGAATAGCAAGACAGCACGGGCAGCTCTGTGTATAACACACACACCCTCAAAACAAATGTTAACATCATGATCCCTACTTCCTTTCTTAGCCTTTTTTATTCTTGAAAATCTTTCTAGAATATGTGTGTATTATTTCATGGCCAGACTGTTATTTTATAATACATATATACAGATTGATCCTGATAAGACAAATACCATCAGGGATCAAAACCTGTTCAACAGGATCAAGCTGAATTCCTGAGCAGGCTTGGTCAGTGTGTGAGTCAGTCCCTCAGATGTCCCTTTTGTAAACAAGCGACAATATGAAACACTCAAGACATATGACACACTACGCAAGCTGTACTCTGCTTTGTCACACTCGTGACTCACCCCTTCCACTCCTATTTGGTTTTTCCAAGTGTTCTCCAAGGTTGTTGCTTCTATAATTTTGCTCAAGGAAGATCACAAGGCTACAAATGTGTAATTCTCAATCATATACTACATGTGTCAATAATTCAAAAAGTGTTTTCCATTCCAATGAATTTCTAGATGCACTGCAATGGCTGTATTTTATATTTCAGTCTCTTAAAGCCTCAGGAAAGCTGCCTATGTATCATTCCCATTGTAGTGATTTGCGTCTATGTTTGTATACATTCCTTTGTGACCCTCATCTGAAAATGAAATGACTGCAGTTTCTACCTTGTAAGATGACAGTGAGGATTAAATAATACACACAGAGGACTTAATCCAGTGTTGATACAGCAAATGAGTAACAAACATTAGCAATTACTACCATTATCTATTGTGAAATGTTCTATTCTGGTCTTTCAGGATAGGGTTTCATTCATGAAGATAAAAAGTTGTAAATCCATTAACATTCAGAGCTGTTTTGTAGCCTAAGGCAACAAGTCAGGGTGAGAAGTGAGAAATATTAACATTCAGATGGCAGCTGGGCTGCAGGTGCTCTAATTAGTGTGGCCAAAGGGTCCCAGATTATCGATTGTCAGAACACCACTGAATAGAGGTTTCCATAGTGATAGACTGCCATCACAGACCATGAAATCAGCAGCACTCCTTGGCAATGTCTACTGGGCCAAATCATTTTTAGTGAAAACCACCGATTCCTGAGAGGTATGAAAAAACCTCTGAAGGGACACCTGATAAAACAATGTTTTGGTTAAAAAGAGAGAGAGAGAACCCTCCTCAAAGTTACTCAAATCATCCCCCAAGGAGTAGAAAGCGGCTGCTACTCTATAAGCTCAACAGAAAGGTTTCATGTCTAAGAACTTGGTGGAATGAATTACTATACGCTTTTGCATCTTCCATTAATGAGAAGTATTAGAAAAAGAAGAGTCCTTCAGGGAAAGGGGCTATTTAAATCTGCTAAACAAATCCCTCAAAATAACATTTTACATATTAGTTACCCTGATGCATCCACTCTCAATTTCTTGAAAGCAGTTTGCAGACTCTCCTCCTCTCCGTCCTTGGCTTCAGATTTCATTGTTACAGGTTTTACACTACTGTGGACTTCCAGTTAATTCTAAAATAGAAAAAAAAAAAGTAATGTGAAAACAGGATTAAAAGTGTACCTCGTTAACAAGCCATATTTCTGATTTCATTTCTATCAGAAGAAAAGGAAAATAAATTTTCATTTCTAAAAGATCTCTGTAGATGACTGGGAGATTGTAGGCTTCATTTAAAAGGAAACAAATGAAATGATACAGAAAATGTACATGCAACAGGATTTCAACTGTACAAACACTTAATACTGTGGGAAAGTTTTGGAAACAGTAACACCTAAATTCTGCATTTCCATCCACCCCTAAACAGGGAAAATCTCCCCAGTAATGGAAGATGAGAAACCCGTAGACAAAGCCATCTTTCCAGCAGAAATAAGGAGGGAAAGCTGACAGCATGGTGCTTTGAGTTTTTCAAATGAAGCTGTCTGTTCAAACCCTAACAATTTAACATAAATTGTTTGACACAACTTCATGACTGAAAACAGTATTTCTCTGGAGCAATTATGACCCAGTTATCAACCTTGATGAGAATGTGTTTTAAAGAACCAGGTGCTGGGCCCGGCGCGGTGGCGCAAGTGGTTAAAGGTCCTCGCCTTGCACGCCCGGGATCCCATATGGGCGCCGGTTCTAATCCCGGCAGCCCCGCTTCCCTTCCAGCTCCCTGCCTGTGGTCTGGGAAAGCAGTCGAGGACGGCCCAAAGCTTTGGGAACCTGCACCCGCGTGGGAGACCCAGAAGAGGCTCCTGACTTCGGATCGGCATAGTATCGGCCCGTTGCGCTCACTTGGGGAGTGAATCATCGGACGGAAGATCTTCCTCTCTGTCTCTCCTCTCTGTATATCCGCCTTTCCAATGAAAAAATAATAAAAAATAAATCTTAAAAAAAAAAAAAGAACAAGGTGCTAGCTACACTGTTAAGGCAGGAGGAAAAGTCTATTTCAATTTCTGATTATTCGACACTCTATCTAAAAGAATATTTTCATTTTTTTCCTCATAAACAAAAATGAATTTACTCTTGCAATTAAAAGAAAAAAAAGAAAAATTAGAATTAGGAAGTAAAAATTATAAAATTACTGTTCTGTAGATGTGCCTCTAAATGATCTCCTCTAACTGAAGTTCTCCATTTCTTCTAGATTTTCATATTTAAACAGAGAAGGGAGAATGGAGGGTTAACCAGGGCAGCCAGAAACACAACAACAGTCTGTTAATAAACTCTAGAATCTAGTCTCTATTCTTTCACTCAGGACAATAAACCAGTCACTTTCAAATCCTGAGCAAAACATTAGCAAACCAGTATCTGAATGTATCACAAGGAATCAGAATTTTTTTAATTAAACAAGAAATAGAAGACCGGAAGATGTTACCAGCACCCCCTGCAGCCCCGTTAGGTGTCACAGCTGCGCCTCTCTCAGGGTGGGCTTGGTGTCGCTAGGAGACCTTTTAGAGGCCAAACTCAAGGTGTTACAATATGTTTGATATCATGGAGCCCTGTAGTATTACCAGCATAATAAGCTACACCCATTTATTCGTGTGCAAAGTTATAGTATTTTAGTCAAATCTCCTTGGAGAGCACTAAAAATAGTCACAAGAAAAATTCTGCTAGCTTTCAGCTTAAGCTCCTAAGACAAAATTTAAATACTCTTTACACATATTCTGCCGGGTTTTTTTTTTTAACCAGTACAGGAATATGAAGGAAAGGGTGTTCACAAGGCCGGCAGGCAGCGTCCTCCCCCACCCCACCCATGAATAAAGACCAAAGATCGCACATGCCAACACATCTGAAGCTCCAGTTATAAAGCGTGCTGTCGTCGTGGACTATCAATAAATTCTCTGCTGGAGGAAGACTAGAGGTTGGCTCTATCCTCAATGACCTGAGTAATTACTAACACAAGGAGTTACTAAATCAGCCGAGCAGCCGCCCCAGCCCGCAGACCCCAGATGACACCTTTCGGGCCACTCTGGAATCAGTCACCACCATAGTTTTCGCTATGGGCAAAATTCATTCTCTACTAAGATGTACAGAATTCCTGCTATTATGCTGGGTATCAGACCGGATGCTGGGGACAGAGGGGTGAAGCCGGGACTTCCACTTCTGAGAGGACTAGACTGTCCTTCCTGGCTTCTAGAAGCTCAAAATGTAACGCTGCGCTAAAAAAGAAAAAAAAAAATGGCACCTAGATATGTAACTTAATTACACAGCGCTGACTTAATAGCAGGGCAGCTGATCATCTAGATGTAATAACACACACTTAGTTAACGCACTTGTTGACACACTGAAAGATCTATCGTCTTAAAAACAAAAACCACATCAAAATAAACATCTGGCTACAGACTAAAAAAGTTCAGGACTGAAGTTCCATTTAAGCTATCTTCACACTTGCAGCACCTCGGGTCACTCTTGCCCTTTTTCTGTTATTTTAACGCACAGCAAAAGTGAATCGTGGACATGACTTTATGAGCCAAACTAGAACACGTTCGTAATTAACACGGTTATCACGCCCCTCTGGACTTCTCACTTCCCATTCGCTCAGACAAGGGCTTGTGTGATCCACTAACTCCCAACTCCACCAGCAGGACCCTGCTATGAACGCTAAACCGACGGCCGCCCTCTCTGCCCTCACTTCAGTCTCCGGGGAAGTTAAGCGCCTGTGAAAAGCGACTTTGTATGAAGTCGAACCACACCGGGCAACCAAATTTTACCTTGGATTTTCCCCTGGTCTCCACGGAACCTCTCAGAAATAACAAGTACTTTTTAAAGTTCCTCCCTCAAGAGGAAAAACGGCTTTTCCCGGACTTTCAACCGAGAGTCACAATCTTAATTAAGAATCAGATTCGACCGTTTCAAACCCAGCCCTCCTCGAACCTCCAAATCCGGCTCCCCGCCCCACATCTCCAAGAACCATCAGGAAGCGTCCTCTTCACAAAGTACGACGGCTTTTTTTTTCCCCCAACTTTCCCACCGGGAGGTGAAGCGGGGAAAAGCCCCCCGTCCAGCCCCCGGGACCGAGAGGCCCGTTCGCACCTCCACGCGCCCCCCGCCAACGCCCGACGCCCACTCCTCACTCCCAACAGGGCCGGGAGGGTTCGGACAGTGTGGCGGGGACAAGACCGAAGCGTCCGAGGTCCGGGACCCTCGGCCCGGCCCGCGCGAGAGACTTCCCCGGCCAGACGCGGAGGAGGCTGGAGCGGGGGCCGAGGGGCCGAGGGGCCGAGGGGGCCCGGGATCCCGCAGCGGCGCCGGCGAGGGCGAGAAAGGGCGGGAAAGGGGGGAAAGGGCGGCACTTGGGAGCCAAAAGGGGAAGCTCGGGCTCGGGCGGGACCGTGGACCGCCGCCCGCCGGACTGGCCAGGACAGAGTCGGGCAGCGCGGAGCTTCGGCCGGCCCAGGCCGCGGCGGAGCACGGCGGGGTCGCTCGGCCGGTTAGGCCCGACCCCAGGCGGGTCGGCGTCCGGAGACGACGCCCCCAGGGAGCCGCCCGTGGCCCGGCCCCGCCCGGAGGCGCCTCCCCGTCGCGGCAAGGGCCTCACCTCCGCACAGCCCGAGCGCTCCGCTGAGCCGGCCCCGTCGCTCCAGATCGTCTCGCCCTGGTCGCCGCGCCACACTGACCCGGATCCAAACCGGCGGAGGGGGCGGCCCGCGCCGCCCGAAAGTCGCACTGCGCCTGCGTCACCTAGGTCCACGCCCCGCCTCTCTGGTCAAGCCCCTCCCACCCCAGTGACTCGGCAGCGAGGTAGACGGCTGCTGCGCAGGCGCCGGACAACAGCCGCGCCTCTCCAACGGCCCGGGCCTGCCCCTCTCGGAAGCACGTGCGTCTTGCGTCATTTCCTGTTATTCTTCGCGCTGCCTCCTCCCTCAGGCGTGGCTTGGCTCGGTCCGCTGTGGGGCGTACATGCTTCCCCTGCCCTCAGGTGAGCGGGAAGGCGCTCTCGGCAGTCGCCAGGTCGGCTCCACTGCCTCGGGAGTCTCCTTGGAGCCCCCTTGGCCTCAGAATTCCGCGAGGGGTCACATGATGACTCGCATGATGGCTCAGACATCTTTTGGGGGGAAGAGGGCGTGCCCTGGGTGTGCCTTGGCCATCTGCTGTTTCCACCCTGCACGTCCGGCTCCCATCTATGGGGGCTGTCCACGAATCTTTTTCTCAGGCCTGGTCTCCTTTGGGGGGGTGGTGAGAACCTTAGGAGCACACCCCCGCTCCGGTGTTTGGCATAGAAGTCAGAGGGCTCTCACCACGTCGCTCGTTTTCGGGATCTTCCCGCATCTGTGATTCTGACGGTGGCTCCCAGAGCCGACAGCTCCAGCCCCGGGCCAGGCTCAGCTCATCTGGCCACAGTCCAGCCGCAAGCCTGCACATCTGCAGGCTTTCCAGGGAGAGATGGCTTTTCTGGATTGAGTAGGGCCCAGCCCTGCCCTCCAGGGAGGGTGTGTGTGTGTGTTTTGTTTTTGAGCCCAAACTGGCCCCATCCCGTTTCCTTCCCCAATAGCGCAGGGACAGTTACCTGGGTCCCGTCTGCAAACCCACAGTTCGTGGTATAGACGTCTCCGGTGTCCCCAAATGAAAGCGATAACCATACTTGGAATTTTGGTCTCTTCCCCAGCTGTGGACAGAGGCAGTGAGCTCTAGCTCCCTGTCAGTTGGGACTCCAACACTGCGTTGGGTTGCTTAGCTGTGATGGCAGCTCAGCCAAACATATAAAGTACATTTCTAAAGATTTGTCATTTATTTGAAAAGCAGAGCGCAGGGAGGGGTAGAGAAGAGATCTTCCATCCACTGGTTCACTCCCTCAGTGACCTCTGCAGTTGGGGATGGGCCAGGCCAGGTTGAAGGCAGAAGCCTGAAACTCCATGCAGGTTGCCCACGTGGGTGCAGGGGTCCCAGGATTGGGCCGCTGTCCACTGCTTTCCCGGGTACATTAGCAGGAAAGTAGCTACATGTTTGTAAAATCAATCAGGACTCAGACCTGCACTCCAGCATGGAATGCTGTCATTGCACACGGTGGCCTAACCCATTGTGCCAAGATGCTAGACACAAAAACACACTTTTGATTTAGCATACTTCAAACTTAGGTTAGTTTTATTGGGATGTAACCCCATTGCAAGCCAAAGAGCATCTCTGTACATGGTTACTAAAGCATGTAGTGGATCCTAGGTCAAATATTTAAATTCTCTCCTTTCATATGGGAGGCTCAGCAGCTGACAAGGTAAAAGAACATCGTTGTGGCACAGCGGGTTAAGCCGCTGCTTGAGACACCAGCATCCCAAATGCCAGTGCCTGGGATAGCGTCTCGCTCTGTGTCCCGTTCAGCTCCCTGCTGATGTGCACAGTGGAAGCGTGAGCACTTGGATCCCTGGCCCAGCCCAGCTCAGCTCTGCCTAAAGACCTTTGAGGAGTGAACTAACAAGTAGGAGAATTCTCCCTCTCTGTCTCTTGCTCTGCCTTTCAACTGAACAAAAATAAATGAACCAAGAAAAAAAGGCAACGAAACATGCATTGTACCCTAATAGAGGCTGCGCTCTGGAGAGCAGCAGTGGGGCCATGTGCTCCCTTTTAGTAATCCCGAGATGGTGACCAGTCTACATGCTGGGTAGACTGGGCTGCAGGCACTTACAAACTGGTTCTGGTTTCCTTTGTGTCAGGAATTAAACTGTCTAAAGCTTTTTAGTCCATGGCACCGTTCTCGTCTTCTTGGAGAGGAGTATGGAAACAGAAAACTATGATGTTTCTCCCCCTCCCCCTAGAAATTACCAATAAATTTTATCAAGACCAAATGCTTCAGTTGCCACTGCAAATCACAGCTTCAATTACAAGCTCAGCCACCCGTGAGAGCCAGGAATGTGTCAAGGCTGGCACATCGGGTGCCCAGTGTGTAACACGGTTCCGGGGGCTGGTGGGTGGTCACTACAGCTTTGGAGAATGCAAGTTCAAAATCTTGACAGAGTTTATTTTCCAACTCACATGGCTGCTGTCCTGCAGGTGGAGATATAGAAAAGTAGTGTTTTCTTGCGTTTCAGTCTCAGCTTATTCATTACCTTAATATACTTTTTAAATGACTTTGGGATAGAAAGTTGTGATAATAATAACATGTATCTTAATTTACAGTTATTATTTGACCTTCATAAATAACTTGTGGAATAGGTACTTTAAAAATTTTTTGTTTGTTTGTTTATTTGAATGGCAGAGTTATGGGGCGAGGGATATTTTCCACCTCTACTGGTTCACGTCCCAAATGGCCGCACTGGCCAGGGCTGGACCAGGCAGAAGCCAGGAGCTCCTTCTAGATCTCCCATGTGAATGCAGGAGCCCAAGGACGTGGGCCATCCTCCACTGCATTCCCAGACTTGTTCGCAGGAAGCTAGATCTGAGCCTGAGCCTGGTGCTGTATTGGATGCTGGTGCCACAGGTAGAGGCTTAAGCTGCTACCCCAGCACCAGCCCCAAAATCAGTACTTTTATTAGGTCCATTTGAGGGGATCTGACTACACCCACCCTCCTGAGCTCTAAGTTACACATCCGTCCCTGGCCGTTCCCCTCCCCGAGCCCTGTGTGCACCTCATTGCACCCAGAGTCCGGGGAATACCACTGCATTGAGGAATGCTGCGGCCCAGGCTCTCACGATCCAGCCTTGCCTGACTGCACATCCTTGAACCCCCTCAGACACTCCCCTCTCGAGTCTTTTCCTCTGCTGGGTCATCGCTTAGCCACTGAGCATCTCTTACTCAATTCCTGCTCATGTCAGTTCCTCAGAGAACTTTCTCCGGCCACCTCAGCAGCCCCCTTCACGCTGCGTCCCTTGGCCTTGATTGATTTTTCGTCATGGTACATATTTACTACCTATCAGCCTGTACTTGTGATCAGGCCCCCTCAGCAGAGTAGAGGCTACTTGAGGATAAAGATTGCCTTTTTATCATTACTTTTTTAAAAAAGGAATTGAATCTAAGATACTTATTGCCTCTTGATTTAGCACTCTGAAAATATGACTATGTTTTTTTTTTAATTATTTTTACTGGAAATGCAGATTTAACGAGAGAAGGAGACACAGAGCAAAGGGTATTCTATCTGCTGGTTGACACCCCCAAGTGACTGCAACAGCTAGAACTGAGCTAATCTGAAGCCAGGAGCTTCTTCTGGGTCTCCTACACAGGTACAGGTCCCCACAGTTTTGGGCTGTCCTGTACTGCTTTCCCTGGCCCAGCCCCCCCTGACACGCAGGAAGCTGGATGGGAAGTAGGGCAGCTGGGACATAAACTAACACCCATATGGGTGAGGACTTAGCCACACTGAGCCATCACACTGGACCATGTATATGTCTTATAATTAGTAGTGTGCCCTGGCTTAATTACAAGTATTTTCTTTCTTAGTTGTACCTGCAGAAAATGTTGAGTCTTTAAAATGATTGATGTTTTAGGGTTGATGAAAATTGCAGTAGAGTGGTGGGATAGCTGCCTCTCTTATCAGCGTGCCTAGGCTCAGTGCCTGTTCCTGACTGGCTCCATGCTAACGCAGACCCGGCTCATGGCTCAGGTGCATGGTTCCCTGCCGTCAGTGGTCTGGCTGTTGAGTTCCAGGCTTTGGCTTTGGCCTGACCCAGCCTCAGCCACTTGTGTTTGGAGAGTGAGTCAGCACATGGGAGTTCGTCCTCTCCCTCTCCTCACCTCACCCTCTTTGCCCTCACAACAAAAAAGACAGCGCAGCTCCAGGGCCTCTCCTGTGTGTGTGAAGGCAGTGAATGTTGGTGCCAGAAACTGTGTTAACATTCCAGTCCCTGCAGCTATTTTGTTAGGAAGTACTTCCCGTTCCTAGGGCAGTGTGGCAGTGGCCGTTGAGCGTGTGGGGACCGTTTTGGAAGCTGGGGAGGAACAGAGAGAGCTGTGTCCAGCTGACTCTGGCCACAGCGGATCGGCTTCCCTCCTGTCCTTAGTTCTGTTGTGCCCAGATTTTAGATACCCACAAATCACCAGGAGTCTGAAGTCGATCCAAGTGCACAAGGATGGTTTATTTAATCAGCACATCCGAGCCTGGGTTCTTGGTTGAGAGCAGGCAGCTGGTTGACCAACCGACCGGCCAGTCAGCGGGCCAGGACCGACACACCTTACTGGAGTGTGGCCCCGAACAGCACCTTTATAGGGGCAGGTCATAGCCTGCTCACATTCCCTACCTATCTGGCCTAGACAGCCCATGTCTCCAGCAACTAAGGGAAGCACCCACTTAATTATTTGGAGCCACCTGTGAGATAACCAGACTTAGGTGAGCCTTGATTCATAAGAATTGGGGCCCATCAGTGCTAAAGGTCACATAGGCCTTTTAGCCTGCAAGCTCATACAGTTTCTTAGTAGCAATGAGCCATGAGCAAGTGTTTGGGATTTTGATACTGAGGTTCTTCAGTTCCACTTGTCCTTTTCACAGACCACCTGCTGCTTGCCTGTCCAGCAGCAGCTTGTGGGCTGGTTGGGAAGGGATGGGAAACTGTGGGGGCAGTGCAGGGAGGTGTCTCCAGAGCTCCCAGGAGGAGGTTTTCAAAGTCAGGCATGGCCTGGGTGGTGGGAAGGGTTGGGTACTGGAGACCAAGGCCATATGTGCTCAAGGAGATAACCATGTGAGGGAGTTTGGATTTTTGTCCTGTGAGTGAGGAATTTTCTT